AGCACGCAAACCGCCTTCGGCGATTTGCAACTAGGACCGCAAAGGCAGCACCCGCCATGCTATAATGAAAAAGCTTGGTGTATCAAAACGAGTAAAAAATATAATTTTTAAGAATACCTTAGAATGCACATCACCAAATTGCACCATCCCCCCATATAAAAACGTCCCCACATCCGAGTCATTCACTTTGCTACGACAAAAATCCTGGACCAGTGCCTACTGACCAGGACCAGTGCTTCCTCAGAGACCTCCAATTATCAGTTTTTCACCCTGTACACAGCATGAACTTACTATTAACTCTTATCCATAATCACATCATTAGCATGACAGCAGAAATTTCCCTGCTAAAATATGTTGAAACAAAATGTGTTTTTCATGCAAATTATATCAATTCACTTATCTTTTAGAATAATTTGCCGTATTATACTGTGATTTCTTTCTTACGAGCTGTAAATAGCAGCACATCTTTGCTGGTAGTCGCGATATTAGACACCCATTACTTGTAGATAGATATTAGCTGTAGATCGAGAAGGGTTGTTTGGGCAATGACTGTTAACTTGTAGTATAATGATGGTAATATAATAGTGCAATAATATTGATAACTTTGATATTAGTGATAATAATGATATGGTGATGAGTACTGTGAATCATTTACAGGTGTGACATTAGACACTGACGATAGTCTCGTCACCGAGCTATCCAACCTTAACCAGAAGTTTGAGCAGCTGCTCACAAAGCTTCACATAAAGATGGCAGCACTGGCCGAAGATGTCGTTCCAAACCAGGATTCGCCCCAGCCAATCACAGACAGAGGGCGTGCGGGTGGCGCCCCCACGGTTGCGCAGACGACGGTACACCCTACGGCCGGCGTAGTGTTGTCATCATCGCCACTACAAGATGGCCGCGTACTGTCACAGTCATCCAATCAGCATCCACCGCACCGTCACTCATCACTAAATGGCGAGTCAGCATTGCACACTACTCTGCCAGGTGGCAGCACGAGTCTGCCGGCGGGGGTCGAGAGCGGGGACGTTTTCGCGGACGCGTCGCCGGGAGCGGTGGCCCCATCTTGTTGCCGCCGCTGCGATTCGGGACTGACGGCGGCGGCGTTCGGCGAGGCATCCTCGTCGCCGCGGGACGCAGGCGGAGACCTGCTCATACGCACGTACCTGGAGAGCATGGAGAACCAGCAGGTAATGTGCTCGCGGGCACCAAGTTGCCACGTCGTTGCAAAGCATTGTTTCGAGAACATTCTTCTGTCTTCGCGATGCTCGTCATTTAGAGCCATCGGTCAGTCACGTCGGGTCGATAGGTCAATCAACCTATAGGTTGAATAGGATAGATCCGTGTTTCGGTTGCTCACCTAGACTAGGGTCTCTGTATACAGAGAGTTGCACCAACTCAGGATTTGACGCCATTTTGTTTCCAAATGGATCCTCACCGCTGCCGCTTAAGTACAGCGCTGTATGGATACGCTGTACAATGGTCCGTAGTAATTTGAATATATATATGTACCCAACGGGGTACAACTGGTGAGTTCTGTGGCCTGAATATGGGCTGCTATGTCTGCTGGCACCAGCCAGATGGTCAGTACGTGGCAGCTGCGCTGCTCCCCCCCCCCTACCACCACCACGATGCTCGCCCCCTGCTGCCTCCTCCCTCATTACAAGCAGAGGCTGGGGGGCCATGTTGTAGCTGGGCTGCCTGCCAGTAGCAATGCAGCAGTGCTGCGCAATCGCTCGCTCTTACAGCACTGGTGGAGGCATGGTTGTGGCTGCGTATGTGCGTAGTAGTGTTATCGGGTGTAAGATATGTTGTTGTTATTGATCGGCTGGCAAATGTTTCTCTCGCACAGGAAGCAGACCAAGTGTTTGCGAGTGTTTCTCTCCGGCAAATGTTGCTGTTGACGTCACGCAGGCATCGCCGCGTACATTCGTGGCATTTCTAGTCCACGTTTGTTTTTTGTTTTTTTTGTGACAGGCTAGAGCATCGGTAAACCCCGCGGAATCCATGCGCAGCGAGACAATCCTGCGGTAACTGCGTCACAGCGACCGCTTCACGATGATTTCGTGGGGCTTCGTGGCAATTACCCAACGCGATGGTGAAGAGAAGGTGATGCGGAGGCTGCGTGGATGCTCACCCACGCGTCGCTAAGTGCTCCCGCAAGCATCCACCTTCGCGGCATTGACGGGAGACACGCGTGCGCACACTCACGATCGCCGTCGGAAACGGATGGTTGAAGATGCTGCGCTCGCGTCTCTGCGGACGTTAGCGTCTCTGATTAATCGCCTCTGAAATATTCATCGCGCCGTCACGTCGAGTAGCGCCGCGAATCAACAAAAGGAAAACCCGATTAGACGAGAGAGAACGTTAGTCTCGCTCGGCACAGCAGCAGCAGCAGCGGCAGCGGCGGCGGCAGAGAAACAGACGCGATGTAGCGCGTAGACGGTGATGCGTACGATGAGCTGGGATGTGCGTGAGCGACGAGCGACGGTGACGGCGCTGACTTCAGACGCATAAGTACGTGCGGCGGTGGCGCGTGCGCTTCGCGAGGGGTGGAGAGAATGTTCGGGGAGAACGAGCTGAAGGTAGGCATGCGAGGTCGCCACGACAGGGGCTGTCACCTGCTGCTGAAGCCGCCGCTACTCACGGAGAAAGGTGCGAAGTTTCTCAGCAAGTCGACAAAGAGAAGCAAGGAGCTGATAATACGATTTCCCAACGAAGATGGTGAGTGTTTGGCATGTGTTTGCACCGATGTGATTTCAGTAGGTGATAATGTTCTGGTAACCTGTGGTAACTTTGTAACCTGGTTGTAACCTTGTAGTAGCTGATAATGTGGTTGACGTTTACACTTTACCAGTAATCCTATATCTGCTTATTGTTGCCGTGGTCACGTTGTAGTTGTAACATTCCCGCGGTTACGGTGTAGTGATAACATCAGGAGTAAGATAATATAGGATTCTATAGGAGTATATAGGAGTATATACTAGGAGTATATAGTATATAGGATTCTATAGGAGTATATTATCTTACTCCTGATAACGTGTTGCCGTGGTAACGTTGCAGTGATGAGATGCGACGAGTCTGGAAGGAGATCCGTGGCTTGAAGCGAGAGCTACACCGCTCGCGCTCCATGGATCGTCTGCACGCCTCCGACGGCCACCTGCTCGCCGCCGCCAGACCCGCCACCAGGGAGCGCTGCACGCAGACGTCGCCGGAGCACGATGCGGCGCGCGTGAGCAGCGCTCCCGCGTGCATCCGTCCCGCGGCGACGGCAACCCCGCGACCCCACGGCGACCCGCGCAGCTACCCGCTGGCGGCCACCCACGCCGCCACTCCGCGCTTCCTCAGCAACGCCGGCGCCCTCTCTCGCAGCGACGGCGCGCTGCGGGGCGACCGCCGAAGAGGTCACGCGCGCACGCTGGCGATGACGCACGGCGAGTGGAGCCAGCTGCTGACGAGGGGAACCCCTGCCGCCGCCGCGTCGCAGCCGTGCGCACCCGCCTACTGCCAGGCGGAGGAGGGGTGGGCGTCGTCACTGACCCCGGGACGGCGGCCACGCCCCCACAGCCTGTCCCTGCGCTCCAGCAACCCGCGCCCTGACGGCTGCCGCTGCGACGACGACGCGCAGCTGCCGGCCGCGGTGGCGCCCTCTCTGTGCGCGGAGGTGTTCGACGAGAGCGCCGAGGGCCGTGCATCACCGTGCGCAGACGACGACGAGGACGACGTGCGGTGCCGGCATGTGCGTCTCGCCGCCAGCAGCAACACGCCGTGCTGCGTCACGATGAGCTGCGCCGCGTGCGATGCCAACGATCGCCGCGACGACCGGCCCGGTTACCGCGGCGACCGCGCCGTCCACGACGACGACCACACCAGCTGCCGCGACGACCGACCCGGTTACCACGGCGACCGCGCCGTCCGCGACGACGACCACACCCGCTGCCGCGACGACGACCGCGCTAGCTGCATTGACAACCACATGAGCTGGCATGGTGGGCAACAAAGAGTAGGGATAGCTCTCAGCGTGGGGGGCAGTGAGTACGGGATGGTTGGCAATACAGGGGGCGCCGGTGGTGCGTGCGGCGGTCACCGGCAACACGAGACTCACGGCCAGGTCGCGCTGTCTCATAACCGGCCATTGTCCGCGCATTCCTTGTCGCGTGGCAGTGCCACTAGTCGTATTCAAGATGAGCGTGGTGTTGACTGTGAGCTGCATGCTTCTAGTCCTGACCGATCAGTATTAGAAGGTAAAGCGACGACGCCGAGTCGATCGCAGCCACGTGCAGAGACCGAGGCTAGCGCCGCTCAGGGAACCGGCGACTGTGCGTGTGCATATCATTCCACTGAGCATCGGAGCGAGGAGGACTGCGTTCTCGCTTCCTCGCTGTCGTCCACTCTGCCGTTTTCTTCTTCGTCCACGAATTCGGATTCGTCGCTGGCGCCGTCCGACCATCCGCGCATGATGAAGACGAGCACGCCGCGTCGCCACGACGACGGCGCGTTGTCTCCCGCGCTGCACTTCCGACCTGCGTCTTCTGACGAGACGTCTCGCCTACCTCGCACTCCGCGAGAGGGCGCCGCTAGTGCAGCTTCCGTGATTCAGGGGGCGCCGGTGTTGCTGTTGGACCGAGCGGCGCGTGGACGCGGTGTTGCGTTTCCTCGCAGCTGTATGTCCAGCCCCGGTCCGGCCTCCGACGCCGCCCTGTCTAGTCCGTGCAGCGACAGTAGCGTCCTCGCAGGAAGCGGTGGCGCCCTCTCACGTAACGGTGGCGCCCTCGCTGGCCGTGGGCTGCGGCGCAGGTCGCTGTCGCAGAGCGTAGAGGATCTGAGCTCTACTGTCGACAGCGCTTTAGATTTAGCCCAGAAACTTCAGAGAGAGTCTCAGCAGATGGTTAGTAAGCTGATGAAGCAGGTGCCAAGGTAGTGTACAGCGTGCTTATTACACTCAGTGAGGTAAATAGTCACACGTTTATTGTTGTACAGTTAGATAGCCGTACACTTACAGGGGTCCCTAGGTTAAGAGGTCCCTTATTACACGCGTGTAGATAAATAACGTTAGGTGGGTGTACAGAGTGTAATAGTGTAACAGTGCTGCGTAGGTGCAGAGTCGTGCAGGTGTTACGAAGAGGTGTCTTAATACACATGTGTAGGCAGCCCGTTACATATTTGTATGATAGGTGCCAAGTTACAGAGGCGTGTATCATAAGCATAGGTAGTCACATTTCTCACAAGTATGCTGTTACACAGCTGAACGCTTGCACTGATTCCTAACGGTAATACATGTACAGTCACAATTGCTAGTGCAGGTCACAGTTTGTCACTACATTTGTCACTAGTACACAAGTTGGGTGAGTTTTGCTGGTTCATAGTTTCTAGTATCGTTGTAAAGTTACTCAGCTCTGTTCCATAGTGTGTGACAAACTGTGCAATAGTTCTATATACTACTGTGTACGATGACGCATAACTGACCACAATATATTTTTTGGCATAATATTACCTTATCTATATCAATATAGCTATGTGTATACACGTATATATCTATGTATAAGTTATAATGCCAAGCTTGCAAGCTTGGAATCATTCCACACTAGATGGTAGAAAGGATAGAAGTTCTTACGTCTGTTTTGTTGTATTGTACTATTTCAGCATACCGAGCTTATGACGAATTTTTCATGTCTTAATGATCTGTTAGGAATTTCCAAAATACTCCACGTACCTACAAGTAATAATGAAACACACATATATGATCTCACAGGTTGTGCTCGGCATGTATTATGAATTTTACGAGTTTTGTTACCACTTCATATGTGCATTTCATATAATAGTCAGTCAGGGTTACCTTGCACAGTTTTGAGCTTTCTTTTATTCATTTATACCATGATGAAATTGATTTTTAGTTAATCATTCGAAAACCAGTATTTTTCATCATTGTAAGTTTATTTAAACTCAATATGCAGTGAAATCAAAATTCTACTAGCTTTCACTATTCCTAGTCAAGATATATTTTTCACATTCGGAGAGGGTCGAGTGTTTGAAGTCTACTTATATTTTGTCCTTGCGCCAAAGAAATTACAGAGTCACGTGAATAAGTGCCCTTGAGTTTATGAACAGTATGAGATATATTTTTATTTACATGTTCTAATTGAACAACTCACCATCGTTATTTAACTTATAGTTGTCACTATCGTTATTTTTGTCGCTAGCATCATCTGTGCCATATATAACACAACTACCACTCCTTCCACACCCTCATTCCCGTTACACAGCACTGAACACCGTTAGTAACTTACGCATGCATGGAATTCCACCCATGTTTCATAAAGGTTTAGCGTTTACAGGAGCTTGCCCTTGGTTGTTTTCATGGGTCATGTAATATGTTATATAAGTGTTGCATTATGCATGTGGACCCGTTAAATCTTTTGTTTCGAATTATTTGTATTTGTGCCATTTGCTATTCATCGCAGGCATAGTTTTGCTACTCCAGTGTATCGAATCTCGAAATAATATATTCTTTATGCTGGGCCCGTTGTTGGAAACATGATATGTAGTTGTTACATCATCTTTTGTTTTTGTTTACAATTGTTTTCACGACTTTTCAAATGATGTTATATGCAAAAGTCACAACGTTTTAGACTTGTGATATATATGTTTATAGTCATAACTATTTTTAATGTTTCTGACAACGGGTCTTTGTTTACTAATTAGCAGGGTATATCAAAATGAGTTGAGATTTTTCAGCGTGAACGTATAGAATATCTCTAGTCGAATTTAGTCGATGTGGATAATAGGGTTTTCATTAATGCTATGTTTTACTAGTGATGGGTATGCATGTCAGGAAAATTTTTACACAATATCATAGAATTGTATGAGCAGTAATTTTCTTTTCCGTTTGTAAATCAACAGACGAATATCATCATTATACATAACGTGGTGTCATTGTAGTCACCTTGGGGTTCCCGCCTATCAGCGAAAAAAAAAAAGATGT